ATCCACTTCATAGAAGATGTTTGTCTACCGCACTGCATGATGTAGGAGGATTCTTCTGAAAATCATTGAATTCTTTCAATATTCATTTTGACACTATAAATTTACATTTTTTAATTGTAAAAACTGAAGAAAAATAAAATTGAGAGAAATTAGTGTGAGTATGGAAGTTGAGGGTGGAATGTGGTAGAAAAGAAAAATTAACGATTATGATTTTAGTTTTAATAAATTAAGATAATTTTTATATTTAAACTTAATCGATAATATATTTATTATCATCACATTTTAAGTTTTTAAAAAAAATTTAAATTGATCCCAATGGATATTCATATCGTGAAATATCGAATCAAACGAAAAATTGTAGGAAAATAAAGTTTGAAAAAAGGACATTGAGATGGGGTTGTGATTGAAAAGAAATATAAACAATCACGACTTTATGTTTCACAATTAATGTAAAATTATTTTTGATATTTAAAATTTATCGATCATATATTTATCATGGCCGCACTTCAACATTTTCAACAAATTTTAAATTGCTTAAAATGAATATTTGAAACTTAAAATATTGAATAAAAAAAAAGGCTTAAACGACTTAACCGAGTCAAGTCGAGTCGAGCCGAGCCATAAAACCATTTGGCTCCGCTCTGCTCGGCTTATGAACAGTAACCACTACAGTGACTCTTTTATTTATGTATGATATACTTTTAAGTAAAAAATATTACTTATATTGACAATAATTCTCATCTTTTGTTAAAAATAAAATAACTTATTTGTTTCAACTAGACAAAGCTTAAAAAAGTTAATTTAAAGTAGCCACATTATTTTAGAAGAATGTATTTTGGAATAGTAGATTGCTAGAGAATATGTGGTTGAAAAAGAATGAAAAGTTATTGATGTAATGAAAACTATTATTTTATTGAAAAATGTGTGATTGAAAATGAAAATGAAAATGAAAATGAAAATTTTAATGTAGCTCAAACAGAGGCTAAGGGAACTTTTTTTCTTTTTGCTTTTATGCAAAAATATTAATTATTTTGAAAGTAATTCTTATATTCTAACAAAATAATAATTTATTTATGTTTAGCTTTAGATAAATTTTTTTTTTTTTAATTTAAAAAGTACTCATTTTCATAATAAGGTTTTTAAGCTTAGCCTAACATGTATGTGGAGTTGTCTTGCAAAACTGAACATAATATATATTTTTTTAAAAAATCTGATATTTTGTATAAATACTCCAATATAATTAAAAATTAATTATTTCACTCACCAAGATTTAAAAAATGAATAAGTTCATCAGTTCTATCCCCCAACTAAAAATTTGCTCATTTGAACCTCAACAGTCCAAAATCTCAAACCCTCAAGCGAAAACCCTTTCTCTGTAACCCCAACCCCCTCCACAGAGACTACGAAATGCAGAGATTGTGCTGCAGATTCCGATCAATGGCCTCTCTTCAGTACACTCCAAAGCTTCAAACCCACAATTCCTTTTCTATTCCCAATCGTCTCCTCCCTACTTCACCAAATTCAATTCGACCTCTCTTTACCCATTCCGTAATTTCCCCTGATTTTAAGCCTCTTTTCAGTGCCCCTTCCGTTCCCCATATTTCTCAATATTCTCCTCTACCATCTCCCCACGTAAGTAACGGATCCCAATTGTTTATTATTATTATTATGATTATTTTGTTTATTATTATTTTTGTATTCTGATAATTAATAGCGGAAAAACCTATGCCATTGTACCTCGTGCTCGATGGTTGTACCTTGCTCCGGCAATTTGCAGTGTTTGAGAAAGTTTAATTGAAATAGACTGGGTGGTTTTCTTTGGTTATTTTTTTCTCTTCCCTTGTTGCTTAAGACTTGCTTTTGTACCTTGTGATTTTGTTTATACCTTGCTCTGACAATTTATAGCGTCTGAGAAAGTTAAAGTGAAATACCTATTTTACTGTAGTTAGTGTTTTTATCCCTTTATTGCTAAAGACTTGCCTTTATACCCGTGCTTCAAATGTTGCAAGGAGTTTAAACAGCTTTTGGATTATAATCCCAATTAAAGATGCGACTATCCTTATTCATGCAATTTAGATAGTTTATAGTATGTCTCCCTTTAAAAGATCGTACCCGTCCCTGGAACTGTTAGAGGCTTCCAGCATCAAGTCATTTTAACTTTTGGATATCTTAATTTTACTATTTGAATGCATAATAACCTTCACCTTTCAATCCTCAATTTGTTAACTTTTTGGGTTCTGCTCATTTTATTTTGTTGCCTGAATGGCTGCTATGAAGACATGGGAGAGTACGAGGCATTTTCAAGAAATACATGAACTTTACTTTTTTCTGGCCAGTTTGTGCTTTTGTTTATTTGTCTATCCTTTATACTGTGAAACAGTATGGTGGAACCTATGATATTTGTGCAATAATATGCAGATATTTAGGAATCTGTCTAGTTGTACATTTATTTGCTTTCATCGTGTGATTTTAGCTCATGCAAGTGCGGCAAATTACTGCAAAGCAGAGGAAAAGGAAGTTGAAGAGCAGGAAACCGATGACGCCGGTCACTTCCAAAGTCAAGAAATATAAAATCAAGGGTTATTCGTATGTATATGACTAAAGATATCTATCCATCTACATGTATCTATTATATTTCATAAAGCATAAATGATATGTGCTAATATGATTCCGTTTTGAATTGAATTGATCAGGTCTTTTAAGGGCAGATTTAGAGTAATGAACGATGGACTGATTCGTAGGTGGAAGGAAGGGAAACGACACAATGCACATTTAAAGGTCTGACAACATATTTTGTTTTACAAGAAAATTTAGTAGTAAAGATCATAAATTAGAGTAAGATGTTTGAATTTGTGTTATTGGTACTTCTACAAGTAATTCCTAATGTTTTGAATTTGTTCTTGAGAAATTAGTGCTAGCGCTTTTGTTTTTCCTTTTTATTCATTTTCTGCATTCCTGCATTTGTTGCCTAAGCTGTCCTAGATATGAAGGCTCCTTAAATAAGTCAGTATTTGGAAAAAGTTGCCATCCTGATGATGGTTTTTATCACGTCTTGGGGAACTGAAGGCCTGAAGTGGTTTAGTGACAGAGGCCGATGCTTATGGCCAAAAGCTGAGTTGTGGTATAACATAAAGAATAACTGATACCGCAGTTCTAAAAAATTACATTCTTCCTGCTTTTTGGTTATGACATTGCCAGCTCATAGTTAAAAAAATTACCCAGAACTAATATATGCAAAAGAGTTACGTTTACATTTTTCTTAAATCTTGCTGTCATTTATGTTATGCAGATTCTGTAGAGTCACATTTCTCAATGGCTACTGACTTAATCATTATGAACTACGTTCAGACTGCTCCTTTTATTTCCCTTTCAATTCAAAAAGCACATATTAATGATCCTTTGGAGTGGAGGTATACATTTATGTATACCTATTAAATTGGTTTCCAAAATGCAGTGATAAAATTCAGTAATGTGGTGAATTTATATATATCAAGTTTTGCAAAACAAGGTAAATATAAAATATATAAATAATTTTTCATCCATATTTGCATTGTCAAAACAAAGTTACAAAACATATTATAGGCCAACAAAGAACTCCAATAACATATACTCATGTACTCAGCTTTGAGATCCTTAGTATCTCCAAGAGACTCTTTAAAGATAAGACACTCTCTATTTTAAAGAGTCAACTCATAAAATTATGCTCCAAGAAACTCTTTAAATTAACATTTTAATTTAGAGAGTAAGTTTAGCTCCCAAATTTGGATAGCCAAGCCCACTCTCTATAATTAAATACATTCAAGGTATTTCAATTTTCATTAGATGAAAATAATATAATTATTTGAGGGGAAGCTAGTGAAAATAAAAGATGGGGAAAAACAATAAATAATTTTTTAGAGTATTAAAATTAAATGTTAAATATAAAGAGCCCGTTGGAGTACTCAAATTTTTTGCTCCCTAAATTTGTAGATGCTCTCTAAATTGTAAAATATGTTCTTTAAAAATAGAAAGTTTCTCAGAAATGCTCTTGAGAGTTTGACAATGACAAACTGCCAAGTTCTTTGGAGCCTGTGGCTCACAACGCTGACCTATATAAGAATAAGTGAGCTAATGACTCATTAAGCAATCGTTTGCACGAATCACAATGAAGACGAACATGATTTCTACTATACATCCTACAACGTTAAAAAGGCATCTCGTCACTGTAAGCAATATCCTGTTTGTTATACTGATCAACTTGATTGGTAATCATATTTTTCTTTTGGGCCTCCTTTACTCTTCTACTAATTATGAACTAGAATCACGAACCATCTTAGCTTTATCTTAATTGGCCCTACTCGAGTGCGTAATCAACCCTCCACCCCGTTATCATCACAGAGCCTAATCACCCTATGTGATCTCTCAAGTACGGTGCCCATGTTCTATTGTCAGTAGAGCCTCGCCCATCACGCTCTGTTTTTCAATCCATCATCACCAACGATATGGTCTCTCCAATTCACCTCCTCACCAGAGAGTTTCCCTACCACCCTCTATTCATAACACGTCATATGCATTGCTTACGTGCTATAGCAAAGGGTAAGAAAATGTCTCATATAACATGTTCGTACAATACTTGAGCATTATTGAACTTGCTGATTCTAAATCATAAAAATACATGTACATGTCATGAATGAACAGACGTCATTGACAAACATATGATTCTTCACATAGAATGCTAGACTCTGTGTATTGCAGGCTACATGATCACACTTCCTCACATATGAATGCCATGATACAATATGGGTTCTATCATATCACATCAAATTAATGTCTTGCATCGTATCTCAAATACTAATAAAAAAAATGGAATAATGAAAATATGAGATTTCCCTGAGCCTCATCAATGACCTGTCCATGGAACTGAGCCTCATCAGGGACATGCCCATTGCAATTGAACAATTTCTGGGCTTCTATAAACTTATCCAAAAGAATGAATACCTTTATGTTCTCTTACCCAAGTTATAATTCCATTACAAATTATTAATAGTTTAGGCGTATGATCTCATGTAATTGCCATCAGACATAAGTGAAATTAGTTTCCAAGGCTTATTTTTACGTGGTTTTTTTGTTGGAGATGCATACATACCATTTTTTAATCTCTTCAATATTGTTCACACTGTGGTTGGTGGATTCAGAGGGGGGAGTGCTCCTATTATATTGATATGGGATATGTGTTTTTGAGGGGTAAGGGGAAGTGGTTACATACTGCTTGATTGTCTAGAGAAGGAGATCATCGGTGGAGCTGCTGCAACCTTGTTGGGTGATTAGCGTTAGTTTTTTTTTATAGTTCCTTTATTACGTAAGTGACATAGTTACTAGCAACATGTGATGCTTGGACATTTGTTTCCAACCGACATCCTCCTGTCAACATGACATCACACGGGTATGGGTATGAAATATGGGTCGAACGCTGCAATTTTCAATTGAACACGACAAACTAGGAAGGCTGACCGTGGCAGTGCCACTACGGAGAAAGTAACAGAAAACTGACTTGACGGCAGTGTGGTGATGTCTGAAAGGTGGAGACTCGATTGGTGGGTGCAATTGCGATCTAGGCGCAATTGAAATTGTCGGCGATAGAGTTCGTGTAGCGGCTGGTTTATTTGGTGGGTTTGGCGTTTTTGGGGATAAGGAGGATATGGTGATGGCGGCATGGCGAGGTGGAGGTGGTGTCCGATGAGAGGCTGGAGCAAGGGAAGCATCGAGTTAGCTTAGGGTTTGTGGTTAGGATTGTATTGGTTTTGGGTGTTTTAATGGGTTGAAGGCTTTGGTGTTGGTGGTGGGCTATACGTTGTTAGGTTTCAGTTTTTTGATGGGTTGGTTTGAATTGAATTGTATAGATAGGTGGGCCCTGGAATATTGGGTTATAATGGTTGTGTATATTATGTGTTGGGCTAGGGTAATATAGGTAGACTGGACTCCAATGTGAAAATAAATTTGAGTTTAACATCAACTCATATATAATAAAAAATTGTTAAGTATTAATTAACATTTTACATGTGAATTTCTCGGGAAAAAAAATTGAAGTTTGCAAGTTATACACGTATCCGTGTCCGAAATTTGGAATTTTTTAGCTATATCCTTGTATCCTACATTTCTGAAAAGATCCGGCACTTGGATACGTATTCGTACTCGAGTCCGAACATCATAGCTAGCAACAATTTGCCTGAGATGAAAGATAAGGAGGCTAGGACATAAAAGCTGAGTAGCAGAGTGGTGGAACAGTTTAAACTCCAACCTTTTTATTTCAAGTACAAATCTATGGATTCTCAATGTATTTATAAGTTAAGTGTTGTGATTATATGATGACATGTGTGAATACCTCGTTGTTTATTAGTTTTGTTTGAACTTTGAATACACATCTGTCAGCAAAATCATTAGTTATGCTGGTGGTTTATTGCATGAAAATAACAGTGGAATTTGTTTGCTTTTTGTCTCCCTTTTGCATTTTTGAACCACACAAGTTAGCAATTTGGTTTTCTTTATTTGCAGATAAGATTCTCTAGAAGATCTACAACATTCTTTTCTTGGTTTTAATTTTCTTTTTTCCAGTATAAATTGCTATGCAAGCTTTATTGTATATTTTAATACAAAACATTCGAAATTTCAAATCTCATTAAGCTACGTATACAATTGTGATATTGAGCCGATCTGTTATTTATTGCAGTCAAAAAAATCTAAACGTAGACTCAGGCAACCTGGTATAGTCCCTCCGGCATACGCAAAGGTGATGAAGAAACTTAACTTTTGTGGTTGAACCAAGTGCCCTCAACTGCTGCCAACATTTCTTGCTTGAAAGTGAAGCATTCAGGGATCTGATTTTGTAGGATGATGATCTTGTCAATTAATTTGACATAATTATATCTAATTGAGTGGTTTTAGGCTCTCTTGCTGGACGCTCCAGTATTTGGTGATAGATGTTTGAATAGTGAACATTTTCTTTTGTTAACCATTTCTTTCATTTTCTGTACGACTCTCGTTTCTATAATAAGCAAAGGTGCATGTATTTTTTCCTGTAACAAATGCAAGACTCAAAAATTGTTGAAGATTGTTGTTTCGTTATTCATGTTTTATTTGCTATTTTTTCTTTCTGTATTACTCATCTGTAGTGTAGGTATTAGGTTTGGCACCCATTCTTTTGAAGAATGAGTTTTTGAATAGTGAGTGATGTAAAGAATGTATGGTTAAAAAGTAAGAATAATTTTTGGGTTTGTGTAATATTATTTTATTTGGAGAATGTGTGGTTAGAAATGAGTACTGTAGAAAAATGAGAATGAGAATGAGAATGAGATAAAAAAATGGGTGTCAAACGGGGAAAGTAGCTCAATATGGCTGCTTGAACTTTTAGTGTCAGATCCATGAGCTCTAATCATCTTTGTTCCAAAGTTCCCAAGCCTACAATTATTTACAAAGAAAGGTAACATGGAGGAGACAGAATAAGCCCTGTTTGACCCTCATTTTTACGGAACTTTTTTTTTTCAAACTTATTTTCAACCATACATTCTCACAATAAAATATTTTGTACGTAAATCTAAATTTTTTTTTTACTTTATAATTACATATTCTTCAAAAAATCACTATTTCAAAATTCATTTTCCCTAATTTTTTTTAATGGTTATATCAGTAACTTACACATTCCACTAGATTAAGAGGACTGTCTTGATTGTGGGAGCCATTGTTTTATTACCACTCGCAATCTCAAGCAAAAAACTCTAGAACGGTAGACATCCAATTTGATGGAGTAAATACCATACATTGCATAATCTGGAGCATATAACTACTGCGAAATGATCAATAAATAGCATTTGGTGATGTGTGAGCCTTGAGAATTTGTATATATTATTGGCAGACAATATGAAAACAAAATATTCTTTGCTACTTGATATCACAACACGCCTCTGTATTTGCGTCTACCTTTGCTTGAAGATTTTCGCGAGTCCAAAATCAGAGATTTCGGGTTCCATGTTCTCGTCAAGTAATATGTTACTGGCTTTTAAATCTCTGAGAATTGTCTGTGGTAATGAGTATTTGTGAAGGTAGAGCAATCCTTGAGCAATCCCATCGATGACATTGGAACGTTTATCTCAGTGTAAGAGCTCCTCCTTTCCTGGATCTGTCATGAATACCATTAATTGCAAATTACAAATTTATGATACTGTCATGATGCTTGATCTAGATTTGGAGACTATTGTAATGTGAATTGATTTAGGTGAGTGGTGAAGTGGAGAATCAGTTTCTTAATGGAAAATGAGCATGTATTTAAGTTGGACTGGGTGTCAGGTGTGTTAACCTCCAGGTGGAAGTTGAAAGTGTTGACTAGGTACTTCATCGGAAGCCTAAATGAACGAATTATAGGAAATAGACGGTACTTACGAAAGAGAAAGAAGTCCAAACTTTTGTTGGGCATGTAGTCATAGACTATCACACTTTCTCGTCTCCATCGAATGCGAAAACCCAATAACTTGACAAGAATCGTGTGCTGGATTTTAGATGTAAGTATCAGCTCAATTTTGAACTCGAGCAATCCTTGATTGACCTTCGTGAGAGTACATTTACTGCTATTTCTCGCCCTTACAATCATTTTTCCCTGAAATGACACATAAACATGGAAAATGCGCTTATAAATAATGAAGCTTGACATTGAAACAATACTATAGATAACATTCCTCAAAAGTGGAATGTTGTGGTCTTCTATTAACGCATTCTGAAACCATTAATGGTTGTGATGTTGAGTATTTGTGATACATATATGTGATAAGAAGACTAAGAGTTTGTTTGGCATGACTTTTGAAAAGTCAAAATGAGTTTTTCAGTCCGTTTGACTAATTTTATAATAGAGCTTTTGATAGTTAGAAGAACTTTTAGAGGAAGTTGGTTTAATGTAGCTTTCTCTAAAAGTACTTACGAAATATGAACATTTAAAAATTAATTTTCAAACAAAAATTAAGGTGACTTTACTCAAAAGCTCTTTTATAGAAAGTAAAAGTAGAAACAAAAACTATGTGAAACGAGCCCTAAAAGGAAGATCAGTTATTCATTTATAAAGACTCTAGTTTTATATCACAATAATGTGCTGACTTTAAGGAAGATTAGTTATCCATTTATGAAGGCTTGAGTCTTTATCACTATAATCTGCACATCGGATGTTCAAATTGCCCTTAATTGCTCGATTGGTTGAAATAGCAAAATTGGAAGCCTCTCTTGAGAGATGCAGTGAGGAAAGAAAACATCTTGCATATTGAGATTTGCTCACCTCCAGACAAATGAATACAGAACCAACAGACTCTGCTTTTCACGAGTGTTGGTGGATTTTTTAGTGCATGTCAGCATTATTAGCGCATACTATGATGTGATTATTGGCACCTACACCTCGCATCTTGATCTTAGCACAATGAAATGTTTGCACCACATGCAAAGCTTGTAGCTTAGTTGATATACTCCCACTCTTCACCAATTGGCGCACTTAGATGCATATGATTTTGTGCGTCAATGCATCTACTCGGCTTAAAAGATGCAGAGAGTAAAGACCACTTCGGAAGGGATGGGTATGTTAGGGAGAGACACTTCACTAAAAAAGAATAAGATTCATATTTCATCTCTTGGATCTGGTTAATCCCAATTCTCTGATGAGTTTAATTAAGTCTGCGTGTGTCCAGAGGTAACTATATGAAATATTTTATTGCTTCAAGGAGAAACTCCAATCAAGTTCACCGTGAGGTGGTCACCATATCCAGGAATAATGGCGAGCTTTGTAGATAAGGCTATGAAGTTGAGCTTTGCCATAATGGTTACGCCCAAGATAGCTAATAGGCCTTCTGAATTCTACCACAAAGATCACTGCTCAGCCACGAACAGAACGTACTGAATAAGCAAATTGGAGGCATATCAGTCACTAGTGATCAATGGATAGATCATCGATGAAGTAAAGCATAATGCGCAAAAAATATCTGGGCAGAAGAAAAGCATAATGCGCAAAAAAATATCTGGGCAGAAGAAAGACTGCACATTACATGAAGAATGAGTAGTACCAAAGGTTTAGCCCTGTTGTCCTGCCCATGGACAAGAGAGCTGACAATCATTACTCATTCTCTCGCCTTCCATGATATCTGCAGACTACTTCAACAAATACCAGTCGAACTTGTTTGTTAATGGTAGCCAATGACTACCAATAAAAACTATTCATCTTTAAAATTCTGAGGTCAAAACAAAGTAGTTCAGTGAAGGAGAACTAGTTCAGTGGAAGGTTTCTGAGGCACTCAAAAAGTTGGATATGGAAGTTAAAAGCAAATTGGGATGGCCACCATGGACTTGAGCATATGGTCTACCTAGAATCCTAACAGCTCAGGGACAGACGGGGCAAACTACTTATTAAGAGATTGAGTTTTGTATGCCTTAAGAAGTTCTATACATAATAGTTACTGTAACTAAGCACCTCTTTTTGTTGTACTGAAGTGTTGGCTTCATCCAGTGATTCTCAGACAATCAATTGACAATGACCTAGGCTTAATTGGAGCGGCACGCAATCTTAATGGTTGATCAGCTATCAAATACTCATCCTAAATGCTAAGACTTTTGTCGAAGACAACATTTTAAATGAATGTATCCCTCTCAAAAGACGCGAGTTCAAGTTGTGTGTCAGACATTTGATGGAAAATATGAATATGTCGCCTCTCTAGCAATTCAAGATTTTAAATAACTAACCACTTAAGAAAGATTCAGCATGCAAAACACAGTACTTGAAAATAACGACAAAATGAAGAATGATTATTCATTCAAAATTTACCTTATAAACTGGGCCAAAACCACCCTCACCCAGTTTGCTTTCTGATGAAAAGCTATTCGTAGCAGCCAGAATAGATGAATATGTAAACGGTCTAAGATCATGTCCCTTTCCCCCATCATTTTCAAGTTTGTGTGTTTCTGTATATTCCTCTAGGGTCATCAGTTCATGTAGTTCTTCCTCCCTTTTCCCTGCAAGATGATCACCAAAATATCAACATTACAATGGCAATGAATATAATTTAAACACGGAAAATCTAAGAGTTATCAGAAATATACCTCGTTTAATTTTTCGCATGATGAACCATGAACAGGCTGTGTCATAGCAGAACTACTGTAATAACCACAGCATTGACTATCCAAATCATCTTCTTCTTTTCATGTCATTCATCATTTGAATATAGTGAGTCAGAATGATTAATTTTCTTGGATAATTGCAATTTAAAATGGTTAGTTCTGAATCTTAGAATTGTGAATATGATTTTGATTTATTCTTGGTTCATGCTACAAAAACAAATTTTAATTTAATTTCAAAATATTTTTATGTAAATCAGTTATATCATACTTTTTACGACCTTACATGAATTAACTTCAGAAAGCATGAGACTAAACCAATAAAATTTACTTACAATTTCCTTTTGCAGAATATAATAATTGGATTGAACCAGAGCAGATTGATTTTGATATGGTCTAGTACATTTTTGTCCGTAGAACCCATATTTCTATTTTCATCACAATTTCCAACGAAATCGGTTTGGCCCAATTCTCAAGAAACTCGAATCAAACCATCTTGTGCTCACTCTTTAACTTTATAAATTTCAGTTCAATTACTGATTATCAACAGTCAAATCATTATATAGTGAAATTTTAACTAAAATTTAGTTATATTTTGGTTAAGTTATCCAACTTATAATTAGGACATTTCTGTATCAGCATCATCCTTGCTAAATCTCTAGGAATGGCTATGAGATAAGACGGTTGAAAACTCACACATACATGATCGCTGCTACTCGCCCCTAATTTTTTGGTACTGCGCTTCCTTTTAGAGAAATAAAATAAATATTTTATATATTTCCTAGTATTTTAATTGTCTTCTATATTCCAATTAATCAAAAAGTAACAAGTGTCATTAACGTTCAACGAACCAGAATACAATGCGTGGCGCACCAATCAACAGACTGTGAACATTGCTATACACAGATACTCACAATGCAGGAGGAGGGTGGGCTTTTTTTTTTTTCTTTTTTTCTTTTTCATTTTTTAATTTAGTGGGTCCCACACATTTGTGACTATTGATAAAAATTACATATGAAATAGTTCTGTACAAGCAGGAAAACCCATACACCATAACGCACACATGGTAGGCGTGAGAGGCTAGTCAAGGTGATGGGGGCTCGAAAGTGCCTTGTGATTTATGGAGAAAATTTTAAATCGCGAACATAAAAGCATCACATTGGTTGTTTTCGCAATATTCAAAAAATAACTTGTAAAGTTCATCCTTAAAACTAAATAAATTAAAATTCTTTATAGTTTGGTTGAGTCTAGTGACTTCAAGACCATCTGAAAGGATTTTTGCATCACAATATCAACGGAAGCAGTCGCACATGACTCTGGTTTGGTGCCCATTTTACAGCTTTGGGACATCTTTATACGGACAAAGATATAGCTTACTCTTTCTAGTTTTCAAGCTTCATGGAATGCCAAATAAATTGAGTAAGTGACCGAAATCCTGTCTTTGAAACATATAAACATGCAAATAAGAACATTACAAAAAAAATTCTTTAGTGTTGGGTTTTTAGATTTTTATCGTCTATACATCATTTGATCTTGTAAGCCCGGGTATGCTAGAAGTACTTGTGCAAACATTTTGATCAATACACATTTATATTTACTGATAAAGAAAAAAGAAAAAGGAAACAACATAACAATGAATATGCTTCGGTTCATTATTGAAATTCTATGCAAATCTATCAAACTTCTTTGCTTTTGTTTTTGAGAATGCAAATATTATACTTGATTAGATTTCAGAAAGAATTGAGTTCTTGACGGACTATGTTACTATATGTATTTTAATTGAGCATGAAGTCTCATTTTTATACATGTAGGTGGGTTTAAAATATAAATAATTTAAGATAATATAAAAAAGGACAACTGAATTCTTAAATGGAAATGACTGAAGACTGGAACTTGTTACAAATCACTACTAAATAAAAGAGCTACTTTTCAAAATACTGTTCACACTTTCGTCCATTAAAACGGCGTCGTTTTGACATAATAATAAAAAAAAAAGATAGATATTTGTACACGCAAACGCCCATACTCCACCATTTTTTCTCTCAACATTTCTCACGCTTTCCCTTCTCCACTCGACGAAAACCCTTAAGCTCCCTTTGCCAGAGACGGACCCAGCGTGCTGGGCTCCGAGCAGTTCGCTTCGTCGCCGGCAGCACTGGTTCGTCTTCCCCATTTATCAATTACTCGTTCCTTTCCACGTTTGTGCTGTGTCTCCCACTTGTCTGTGTGTGAAATCAACGAGGGTTTTCTCTCTTCGTTCGCTTTTTACGCCGCCATTGCACCGCCCTTTTCCACATTTGTGCTCTATCTCCCATTTGTCTGTTTGTGAAATCAATGAGGGTTTTCTTTCTTCGTTCGCTATTTTACGCCGCCATTGCACCGCCCGTTCTGTGCCGGAGTGTGCAGTTGTTCGAACATCACAGACCGACGAAATTGCAAGAATAAGAGCCTCCGCTGCTAGATCGACGCTTCTGTAAGTTTCCCCCATTTTTTACATGCGTTTTACGCTTATGTAAGCTTCCTCCATTTTTTACATGTGTTTTTAGATTTTAGTTCTCCTTTGTGTTGCTATTTCCCCATTTGTGCTTTGTTTACCCATTTTCCTCATTTTCCCTATTTTCCTCATTTTTTGCTGAAATTGATGGGAAGTTTTCTGCATTTCCCACACAACCCTAGATTTCTTCTTTCTCTTCTCTCTTTTCTATTTTTTTCTCTCGAGATTCTCTGGTGTTTTACAATGGAGTTGCAAATGGAGTGAGAGAGCAAAGTTGGAGTTTTTGCTGATATCTTCAACGTCTTGTTTGGAGGCTGAAATTCTTTTAATCACAATTTTGATTTATTCGCAATCATCAATTCACATTCACAGCCAAATCGGTTTGCCAGCACCACCGTCACCACGCCGCCAGGTAAGTTATCTCCCCTTTTCCCCGGAAAGGAGACACTGACCGTGTCTCCGTTGCGCGCGGAGACACCGTTTCTCCGTGTGCGCACATGGTGTCTCTGTGCCACACGGAGGCAGTTTATTTTTTTTCTTCTTCTTCTTCAGTGGTAACAATAACATTTTTTTGCAGGTAGTAGAAATCAAATTTTGAAGACATAAGTATTCTTTGATTGTCTTTTGTTCTCAGTTTTCGTGGTGATTTTTGTTTTCGTATAGATATTTTAAAGTGGTGAATTTGTTCTTATAGGCCTGGGGGTTAGGGTTAAGGCCTTGTCTATCTCATAAGGGAAGGGAATATGTAATTGTCGTCTCTCCTATTTGTTATTTTCTTATGCTTTTTTTAAGACGCTGGTTTGATTTATTTCATAATTATGTGATTTCATTTGTATAATCGAGGTGCTCTTGATGGGGTTTTCTCTCTGTCAATTCTTCTGGGATTTGAGGGTTCAATTTTGTTGGGGAATAAAATTTAAAGAAACCAAGAAAAGAGTAAAAGGAGACGAGTCGCTTTTCTTGTATTACCCCTCGACTTAAGAATGAGAGGGGTTACGAAGAAGATATGACCCCTAAATCCGTTGGTTCTTCAGGTTCATTTTTCTCTCTCATTTTATTTATTTGTACAGAATTAGTTTTTGAATAATTGTTCTTCTACAACGTGCTTAATTATTTTATGTATTTTTATGTTTGTTTTGTTACTATCAATCATGCTTGGATAAGCAGTTCGTGTGATGGCAATTACGGAAAAGGCAAATTTTAGTGACAATATAAGATGATAAATAGCTTAAAAATTTGACATATGATGAAATTGTAATGTGGCATTTTGAATCTTTGTTGAATCAATTTGTGTAGAGACTGGGACAAAGGGAAATTCTGTGGGAGCAAGAGGCACAGATAACAATGGCAAACAGAGCAACGTGGCTCGTACCTTCACATTCAAGGAACTTGCAATGCAACCCAAAAATTTAGAGAATCCAATTTCATCGGGGAAGGCAGTTTTGGAAGTGTTTACAAGGGCTGCCTAGATTCTGACATGGCAAGTTCTGTTTTACAATAGAATTTTAATTTCTATTAATATATGCATTCAAAATGATGAAACTTCCAGTTTGTCAATTAGAAACATTAAAAGAATCACGGTGTTAAAATGAATCGTCAAATCAAAAGTTGGAGTTAAATATTGGGAAGTTTGGAACTATCAAAATCAATTTTGGGTAGACAATTACAATCACATTCTCACTGACAATATAATTGAAGGTAAAAATTAGATGTTATACTATATACATGTTCGGCTGCTGAGAAAAAATGATATATGCATAATTTGATTCTAATTTAGAAGGAAATGCTAAGATTGATTACTGGGAAAGAGAGAGAATAAGAAGTAGGCACATTTATGAATTGTCTAAGTTACCCCCTTCAAGATAAATTATGAGGGAACATTAAGATGGTTTAGACTATTTAATGAAGGTTTTTAATGGACTGACGTGAAAAAGATATATGAACGGTGAACCATGGATGAAGAGGTCGATGGTGTGAGGTAATTAGAAGAGATTTGAGCCTTTATGGTTTAATCTTGGAGATGAAAAACCTAAGTAATTCCTATCATATGGTACATACTAAGCTAAGTAATTCCTATGATATGTGTAGGAATTTATGTTTCTTCAGTTAATATAGGGTAATTACTTAAGCTATTGCCTTGATTTATTCAGAGGAGACCAACATTAAAGAAAAATATACTCTTGATTGATTTCTTGATATTGAAACCTATGATATTTGATTAAAAATTCTGATGAAATACCAATTCACTGGAAATTGTTTGAGCTGTACTTTTAATTGGAATATACTTGTTAATAAGTTTGGATTTCATGCAGCTACTGCTGTGAGATTTGTTTCCTTCAGTTGTGAATTAGTAGTTTAGTTTTATCATAATTCCCTTATGCTGCAGATTAGGGCTTCAAGTTTGAATGGGTTGACGGTTGGAGAACCGCTATCTGAACATCTCATGGAATCTCCACAAAGGTCTGAAAGCATGCTTTATCTTAGATAAGTAATTAAATTATTTAAAGGAAATTTACACGTTGATCCATAAAGTTATTTTTGTTTCATGTTGATCACTCCTTCATGTCTGTTAATTCTACCGTTAGAAATTGTGACATGCCCTTTCAATTTTCCAATTAGATATGAGCCTTCAGTTAAAACTGATGTTTTGATGAAATAATCTTCAAATATGAAAGAATGAACTTTTTTTTGGTCTTTTCTGTTGTAGATTCATAGGTAAAAGCTCTATCTAAGTCTATTCATTTTCTATTAAGTTTATTGAGAAATGTGTATCATGCTCTGACATTCGATTCGTTCAATTGGAGACACAGTACTTAAAATGTGCACATTTCTATGTTCGCCTTAATGTTTTGCGTGTATCTTTTGTGGTTCTCTTCTCCATTTTCATAATCTCTCCATTTCTGGAATTTTCAATCCCACAATAGTTTATGACACACTTGGCGAGAAATTTACAGCTTTGATTTCTGGTAGCTTTATCTTCTGTATTTTCTTATACATCGTTCTATTAATTTCTCCTTATTCTCAAGAATGTGTGAGAGCTTCTTAGCAGCTTATTGCGCTATTACTTACTTAGTTTTATTGCGCTATTACCTGAATGGGAAAAGAAAGCTAATGAATAAATTGCTTTTCGGTTCTTGAAATTATTTCCTACTTGTCATATTTGCATTTTTCCCATTTTCCTTGTTATTTTAGTTGTTTATTTTAAGCTAATTTCCGTATTTGATCTTAGTCCTTTTGTAATTTTATCTAATTTATTTTCCTTTGCGTTTTAGTCATTTCATTTTACACGTTTGCTAAGGGATGCAAACGAGATGATGGTACCGAGTTTGATATTTATGTGGCCGATCTGAAGTTGGACCAATTCCATTAATTCATTGTTGCCTCTGCCATATTTGGTACGACTGGATCTCTGAAAAATTCCAACATATTTTGTGATGTTTCTTCATATGCTTAGCTCTTGTTTCTTGATTGTTTTTTATCCAACTTCCTTATATATCAATTTAATACTCTCTTTGCTTTTTGGAAACTTGTTTAACTCACATATCTCTCTCTTCAAGTTATAGCTGAATATCTTCAAAAAGTTTATCCAAAATCTGAAGGTGGAAAAAAAACCTCCCGCCCTCAGGTGCAGTCCTCACTTAAAATAAGGAAAAGAAAAAAGAACAGATTGCCTTTGCAAGGATACATTCGGGTGGGGGTACAGGAATTGGCTTTTAAATTTGTGTGATTAGGAAATTTTAGACAAGTTCAGCTATTCTCAGATGGTGACTATCAATCAAATATCTTGTATACAAAGCTGATTTATTAGGTCTTTCTTGAATCAGATTTCTTGTATGTGAATCGGAAACATTATATTTCTCCCTCGGCATTTGTAGTAGTAATGTAAATTTTGTAGGCCATTCAAGATTCATTCTAAATATAACCTCTGAATTTTTTTGAACATTTTACATGATTTAGACAAAAGGTTTTGCTTTAAAATAATTCTGAAAGCTTTACAATGAAATGTGTTGAATATGCAAGAATCTTTCTCATCGCTTAATCTTCTAGCGTTCACTTGCACAATGACAGGTAAAGAGATTTCCCAGCGAGGTCAGTTTCTATAAAACAACATCAAGGTGAAGAAACCACCTCGCTTTGGTCTACACTTCTCAGCAAATTCCCGAAGGTAATTTATTTTCCCTTTAACTAGATTTTTAATTGATTTTGATATTAAGAGGAGGTCTTGGTTTAGTTAGAATTGGTAAGTCTTGATTTATTATTTTTGTATTCTAAATGCTTAATTTTGGTATCTACTTTGAGGAGTGTTGAATTTGAAAGAGTAAATGTTTTTATTAAAGAATATTGGTGTTAGTGTTGTGGAGCTGGAATGCTATTGCTGCAGAATTAAATAAATTTTACTTTGAAAGGTACTGTGTCATTTTACTCACTAGAAGACTTTAGGATAATGAGTGGGAAATCAAGAAAAGGTGGAAAGGACGAGCATTTCATATGCACATACCGAAATTATTAAGGAATTATTATAATCTACTATTATACAACAGTTCCCTCAATTTTAGTTGTAGACA